GTGAATTCTGTACATTAAGTGAATTAAATAAGAATAGACAATCTGACTATTGTATTGGTTGCTTTTTGTCTTTAGGAAAAAGAAAGATGCGGCGCTCTGGAGCTCCCAGCAAGCTCTTGGGTAATGCAGTGAAAAAGCCTCGATTTGTGCCACCTGGTGCATGTACTTCACTTTCTGTGGCTCAATCCAAGCCTTTGACCCCCAAACTTGGTTCAGGCAATGCACTGGATAAAGTAAGTTTTTTTCTCAACATTTTTCCTACAGTATTAAACCCTCAGTATTTATCATTCTAATTTGATTATTTTCCATTATTTTTTTATCACACTTCCTCATATTAAGAATTCTCTTTTGTCCGTACTTCATTTCGCAGATCCAGAGAAACCTTGCAACACCAGGTGCAAGTAAGACAGAGTTTAACGTCCAGCCTGAAGCTGCCCCAGCCTTGTCAAAGGTTCTGGCTCGTGTTCTCAGTGCAACTGAGAGTAAGGAAAATGAGGCTGAGACAAAGCATCAGAACCCTGGATTAGGAGCCTCTGCTGAAGACTATAAAACAGCAGGTAAAAAACAACAATACAGCCATGTAAAGCCTTGTCTTTTTCTTACCCCATCTTCTCACTTCTTATGCCCAATTTAATAATCATAGCAGCAATATAAAAACTCACAAATGTCAGTTGATTCCTGGAGGGAGATTCTCATAGTTTCAGCAATGTATGTCAGGGAATGTGCAAAGACAAATATGGGGACAAATATGTTTGCCTCATATGAGAGAGAGAGGAAAAAAAGACCACAACAAAGAGTGCAAGGCCAGGAGGGAAAGGAGTCTGATGAATCAGATGGACATAACATTGCTCATGATGACTTTTATATTTCTTTTAATTAAACGTAGTTATTTTTTTAATCACACCCACAAATAGTGAAGGGTTGATGGTGTGATCACTGAGTTATTGCTACAACTTAGAGGTAGAGTTTCTTCTTGTACCATGATTTAAGTATTCCAGCTGTGCCTCACACCATTTTTCTTGACTGTGAAGAGTATACCTGCGTGTCTTTGCTTAAAGTTAATCCAGCAAGCATTCCCCTCTCCTTGAGGAGACGAGGAGATGCAACATTTGAAAATGAGAAAAGCTTCAAGATTTCCACCAGAAAACAAAATCATGGTTCCATTACAAGCTGTTATTTAAGATGGATTGCTCCTAAATCAAACAAGACTTCCAATTAGTTTTTAATTAAATGCAGGTGAGATTAAAAGCTAAACCAATTAACCCTGTGTGTTACAGTGACAAAGACAGTGCAAGCCTCAGCATGCAGCATACCTGTGGCCTCATTAGGTCTAGGTAGTTTAGTCATGAAGGTTCTACTGAAACAGCCGTTTCTGTTTTATTAGCTCTCAAGTGACTAAGCTGTGGGCTCCGTTATATTTTATACATTAATATTTTTTAATGGGACTATTTTTGTTTTTGATAATTGTACTTTATTTATGACAAATATTCTAAAATGTCGTTAATTATGGTTTTCAATCATTTTTTGCCTCAAGGCGTCTGGAGCAATAAATCTATGCAAGATTTAATTTTGCTTTATTGCTAATCTTTTTTTTTTTTTGCATATTTGTCACACTTACATGTTTGACATCATCAAATACATTTTAATATTAGAAAAAGACAACCCAAGCAAATACAAAATTTATTTATTTATATTTTTAAATGATGATTTTATTTATTAAGTGGGAAAAGCTGCCTAAACCTACCTGATGCTGTGTGAAAAAAGTAATTGCCCTTGAACTTAATAACTGCTTAGGCCATCCTTGGCAGCAAGAACTGCGATCAAGTGTTTGCGATAAGTAGCAATGAGTCTTTAACATCACTACGGAGGAATTTTGGCCCACTCTTCTTTGCAGAATTACTTTAGTTCAGCCACATTAGAGGGTTTTCCAGCATGAGCGGCCTGTTTAAGGTCATGTCAAAGCCTCTCAAACACATTTAAATCCAGACTTTGACTAGGACACTCCATAACCGTCTTCTTCTTCTTTCTTTTTTTTCCTTTTTTGAGCCATTATGAGCTGGTGTGTTCTGGATCAATTTCCTGCTGCAGAACCTGAGATTAAGCTTCAGGACTTAAAAGGATGGCGGGATATTCTCCTTCAGGATTTTCTGATAGAGAGCAGAATTCATGGTTCAATTGCAGCAAATTGTCCACATAGCCGCAGACCATCAGAGTACTGTACCACCACTTTTGACTGTTCGTACGATGCTCTTTTTATGTAACGCTGTGTTACGTCAGATGTAACGGGATTCAAACCTTCCAGAAGGCTCAACTTTTGTGCTGTCAGTCCACAGAATATTTTCCCAAAAGTCTCGAGGATCATCAAGGTGTTTTTCTTTGGCAAATGTGAGACGAGCCTTTGTGATCTCTCTGGTCAGCAGTACTTTTCTCCTTGAACACTCCTATGGATGCCTTCTCTTTCTTATTGTTGAATCATAAACTCTGACCTTAACTGAGGTGAATGAGGCCTGCACTTCTTTAGATGCTGTTCTGGGTTCTTTTGTGACCTGCTGGATGACTCGTCGATGCACTCTTTGAGTAATTTTGGTAGACCAGTCATTCCTGGGAAGGTTCACCGCTGTTCAGTTTTCTTCATTTGTGGCTGTCAGCGTGGTTCACTGGAGACCCAAAGCCAAAGCCTGACTGACAGTTGTGACAGTGAGTGACTTTGTTTCTCAGCTGTTTCTTTAGATCGTAGCATGATGTGTTGCTTTATCTTTGAACCTACTTCACTTTGTCAGACTGGTTTTAGTAACTCAGCAGGTCTGGCATTAATCACACTCGGGTGTAGACAGAGAAACGGAACTTAACTTTCTAAAAATTGTGGTTAATCAATTAATTTATGATTTTACAAAGGTGGCAGTTAATTTTTCATGTAGGCTCGAATAACTTTCCCCCCTTAATACATTATAATTTAAAAAATACTTTTTGAATTTACTCAGGTTATTTTTGTCTAATATTTAAATTTGTTTGATGATCTGAAACATGTAAATGTGACAAATATACAAAAGATGAGGAAGGGGGACAGATGTTGTCACACTGCTGACAATTTTTTTGTGCCTCAGGCAAAAAGCATCATGTATATTAATGTGTACATACAGAACAATACTGATTCTGTTGCCTTTTTAAAAGAAAGACAGAGATGATACAAACACTGTCACCTTGAACACAAAGCTCTGCTGTATATTTACTTGAGCCACACCATCTACTTTGCATTCACTGAGATTAAATTTGTATCATATTTGCAACATCAGGCATTTTGCTTTTTATTTTTTGTAATTTATTCCTTAAAAATGTGTCGTGCAATCTATTTTGGGGTTTTTTGGGCTACATTTGTATAATCGGTTAATCGATCTACAGCATTAAAGGCAGGGACATTACTCATCACAAATATTTGGCTTGAGGTTGTCGGTCCTAAATGGATCATTCAGGACCTGAAGCCTTTTTATGTTTGCTGTGTAAAATAAGGTACGGCTGGCCCCAAAAGAGAGTTTACAGCTACTGGCCTGTCCATGTGTTATAAATTACATGGACATCATCATCATCGTCATCACCACCACATTAGCGATTATTCCTCATAATGTGCCCTACACGTACCAACTACTGCTGTTTAAATTCGCTGTTATATTGCAAAGTCTAACTCGAGCAAACCCCGCGCAGAGGCTGCAAGCAGACACTATAATGAGATATAACGTTTATATAAATAGCATTCCGCTCTGTCTAATAATAACACGCACATAGGATAGATGTTAAACCGGGCGGGCGAAGGCTGAGTGACAGCAGGTCCAGCATTATGCAAATTAGCGGCCAGATTCGGACTGTGCTCGGGATCAGCGTCTCCTTCTCCTCCCCTTCCTCCTGTCAGAGCAGCCAGTGCTTCTGTTTTACTTCCTGAGAACGCGCGGCGCGAGCACGCTTTCCTGGAGCTGTTTTTGCACGCGCCCACACACGTATTTAATCAACGAAGTCGCCGCGTGAGCTGCGGAGCTGGCGTTCCCCGTCTGCATTCGTTTTACACTGAAGCACGGCCAGAAGCGCGGGTTCCACGGACATGCGCAGCGCGCTCACAAACCCCTCCCCCCCCGGTTCAGTTAGTTAAGCCGGCGCTGATTCAAAGCATCACTCACTTTAGGACGTTAGACATGTGACACTTTAACACCTTACAGTGTGCTGTTTGCAAACTGTTGTGGCACATGTGCAGAGGGCAGTGTCCCTCTGCAGCACTCCCTTTGTCACACTGTAGAGCCGGTGTATCTCTGCTGTGCTCTGTGCTGTGCTCGGTTTGGGGTTTAGAGAGACCGAGCTGTAAGTAGGTCGGGCTGGGCTTAAGCGGCTTAGCTACGTCAGCCTAAGCTGGGAGGAATTCATCCAAAGCCCTCCGCGGTAGGCGGGGGCCTAAACGAGGCTGGCCTAGTTAAGCCTGATTCTTATTGTGTGCAGCACAGCCTGTTTTTGTTGTGCAACGTAGCTGAGAGGGAGTCCAGGAGTAGTGTGAGAATCCATGCACTTGTTAGACATAGCCTATGTTTGATTTGGAGAGGAAGAAGACGAAGGGGGGAAATGTGACATGTATCTGAGTTAGACCAGTGTTGGTGTGTCACCGTGGACCAGGAGAAGAGAGCGGCGGGGACTGAAAAAAAGACAGGTGGGAAGAGAGAGGAGCCCACACTACTGAGTGTGGTTACTAAAGGGTGACAGCCATAGGCCAGACTTGGTCTGCGTGAGCCCAGTATGCTAGAAGATGGCATCCAGCTCTGTGTTTTTGTCCAGTATGGTGGGTAAAGCCCGCTCCTCCAACTTCACCCTCTCTGAGAAGCTGGACCTGTTGAAGCTGGTCCGGCCTCACATCCGAATCCTGGAGGAGCACACCAACAAGCACGCGGTCATCGTGGACAAGAACAAGTGCTGGGACACTGTTGCTGAACAGTACAATGCCCTGGGAGGAGACAGACCCCATCGCACAGCTCAGGGCCTCCGGACCCTCTACAAGAGACTGAAGGAGTCAGCCAAGCAGGAAGTGATGCAGAGGAGACACGCCCAGCCAGAGTACAGAGCAAGCATCTCCGAGCCAACCAGGAGAATTATGGAGATGATCCCTCACCTGTTTCACCACGTGCCCATCCACGAAAAGGACCAGGCGCTGCGCAGGTACGGTTGCACTTATGAGAACACATACGCACACAAAGATAAAGGATAACACAAGTCACATGAGAGTTTTGGACATACTGAGGGAGAGGAGGGGCTGCCGTTCATGCTCCCAAACCCAATCAGATTACTCACTGCACACTGTCAGGCTCAAGAGGACATACTGCATGAACTGCCATCATTTACTGGCGGCTCATCAGTACATTTGGAAAATACATAGGTCTGGTTTTCACATTGATAACTCTATCAGAAACTTGGCTCCAAAATAATTATTTAGCTCGTGTTCTCAGGACTACAAAAAGTAAGATGCTGCTAAATATCCTCATGCTGGATTAAGAGAGTACGCAGAGGAGAAAAATACACTGAATAATTCAGATTAAAAGGCAGTCATCACAGTTAGAAATCCTAGTGATGAATAAGAGTGGGATCAAAAACGCTTCACACGTGTGAGGTTGTAACCACCAAGACTTGTTGCCAAATCCTTTATTTTCCTTTCACTCCCTTTAATGTTCCCTGATCATTCACCTAATTCTTTGATTGATTTACCCACCTGCAGAGGTTTCAACACACTTCACATAAACAAGATATAGTAAATGCTGCTTAAGCACTCCAGGCTCACTTATTTATTTATTTTTTTAATCCTGTTTTTCCCATTTGTAGATTAATATACAGCAAGCACAACTCTCCTATCGAACATCCTGGCAGCAGCTCATCTCTGGCTGGACTTCAGGATTACTCTGCATCTGTCCCAAGTATCCCCCATGAGGTGGTCCAGCTGGACGCTGAACAGGATGTAAAACCACCGCCAGACCTTCCCATCCTCCCAGCGCACACAGGACCACGGCTGGAAGGAGGCCAGGAGCGAGAGGGAGAGCAAGACTTGGGCAGCATCCATGATTATGAAGCGTCGTTATCTCCAGCTCCTTCCTCTGTTAACATCCCTCTCTCCACCTCGCCGCTGCCCTTACGCCATGAGCTCTACCCCAACGACATCTACCCTCACCACGAGCCGGACAGATTTCGGCCTCTGCAACTGGCCAAAGAGGAGCACGAGCTGGTGCTGGCCAATCACAGGAAGGTGGCCCTGTACCTGGAGGAGAAGAGAGAGGGGCTGAAGAGGAAGCAGGAACTGGAGGAGGAACTGCTGCGAGCCAAGATCAAAGTGGAGAAACTGAAGGCAACCCGACTGAGACACGGACTGCCCATTTCTCTATAACAAGTATCAACATGCACTTCTGTGGTCACTGTGAGAAAGGGAGGGGCTCTGAGTAGTACAGTTTTTAAAAAAAAGAAAAAGAAAAAAAGCGCTTTGGAGCAGTCACCAATTTTGTTTTGTTTTGGTTGTGTGAGATCAGTTTCAGGACTTGACTTTCTTTTGGAAACATAGTGCCTCGTATACACACAGATAACCTGTTTACGTCCTGCAGGATAATTAGGATAATAACACCTGCTGCCATCAGTCTTTGTGCTTGTCTGTGTTAAAAATGCATCATCGTGTCCATGAGTACCAAAAGTAGGGACAAACATCTATGTAATAAAACAAAGCTCACATCAATAACACTGTGACAGGCCAATATGTATAAAAGTCCAAATTTTGGAAGGGAATATTTGTAGTATTGACTGATAATGTACCTCAGTGGTGCTCTTCCTGCCTACACCTACCACCAGTCTCTAATTACAGGAGTGCCAGCAAGGCATTAATGATCTTTATTGTCTAAGATTGTTGGAAAAATATGAATGTAAGAGTTAAAGCACTTGATGTCAGTGTGAGCAACGTGTTGTTATCTCTGTATAAAGAACATTTCCACCCATTCTGGAGAGGTTTTGGTTATCAAAACAATTTTTATAGCCGCTTTTATTCATTCTGTAGATTTCCTACAAAAACCATTCATGTAGTAGCAAATTTTAGAGATACCAGGACTGCAGCACAAGGTAAACTTTTGAAGGCCTTAATCTGTTATTGGGATAACAAAAATGTTCGAGTGAGTAATTCTCGCTGGTTGCTGAACTGTTGGCCGGTTGCGCGAACAAAAGAAGGGAGGGGCCCTGATGGTTTTTGGTGTTACTGCTATTTATTGTGAGTTCAACATTGATTGTATTGTACTGTTGTTATACAAGTGTTGCCCATTTCTCTTACTGTTTGTCTATGCGTTCACGTGTTTGTATTAAAAAGAAGATCCATTTTCCTCTGGTCCTCTGTTTATTTCTAAGTCACGTGTTCCACTTTTATAGGAAATCTTTAATCCGCCTTGTAGAAGCTGATGAAAGATCATAAGGTGACCGCATCTGCTGACATTTGCATTGTTTCACTGTGCTAACTGTTTGAGCCTTGTACATGTTGTATTTTGTTTCCATGATAGGTGGAGCCAACAATGGCGTGTAGAAGCCTTTATGCTGAAAATCTTGATGCGACAGTGACCTCTGCTGGTCAATTTCCTGTGTACATCTGGTGGATCTGACTTTGTTTTATGTCTTTGTGTTACAGGAGTGAATGATGGCCCTCCTGGGTCTCCCCAAACCCCTCAGCCTCCTGCAGGCTCAGACTCCGGCTCCAGTCAGGATGGGGCGCGTTACTTCAGTGTGGTGTGGTGTAAGGCCAGCAAGAAGAAACATAAGCGCTGGGAGGGAGACGCAGTGCTGGTGACAAGAGGACGCACAGTCACTCTTAAAGATATGGAGGGGAAGGATATTGGAAAGGGTAAGACGGACACCAACATCAAATTTTAATTCGTCACCTGTGTAGCTGTTGCTTGTATTTAAAATGACAACTGCCCAATTAAATATAGGACTATATACAAAAAGCCTTGAGATAGCCTGCATTTCTTTATATTTGGCTTCCAAGGAGCTAGACTTGTAGTTCTCCAGGCTTTCTTGAGGACTTTCAGAGTTTTTCTTTGAACATCAGCTACTTTTTCACTCATTTTCAGTGCAGTCTTGTAAATGCAGATCTATGAATCATTCAAGCAATAAAAAGGCACCTAATTCGAAGGATGAACCAGTGTGGTGTCTACACATAACAAACAACTTGGCAAACACAAGTACTTTATCATTAGCAGCCTGTCAGAAAAATACATAATTTCTTTACATTTCTTTTGTCTAATCCAGGGGTGTCAAACTCAAATACACAGTGGGCCAAAATTCAAAACTGGAACAAAGTCGCGGGCTAACATTAATATTTATTGAAAAAAAAAATCTTCCTCCAGATATAAGAATGAATCTTTTCTTATGGACTCAAACAAGTTTTGCTGAAAAACTGAATATGGAATAAGCAAAGCTTAATACTAAACAATATATAGATATATTAGCTGTATAATACCAGTAGGCCAGCTCTAATAGTAATTTGGTATGGCTTCGCGGGCCAAATGTAATTAGGCTGCGGGCCAAATTTGGCCCGTGGGCCAGAGTTTGACACTTATGGTCTAATCTAACAAGAATATCAAAGGTGACAGAGTGTGAAAGGCATAAAATGTGATTTTTGCACCAAAAAACTCTGTTTACACATTTCAGTAAATTGCTGAACCTGTTTATTTCACATTTTCCTTGCAAAATATAAAGAAATTAAGACTGACTTAAGACTCAATGAAAGCAAAGTCATCAGTACTGTAATTACAATTATTTACCTGACATTTAATTTACTCAAGATCAAATATAAAAATAACAGGGAAATACCCAGGCTTCTGTCAAGTAAGGTATTATTGACTCTTGAAAGAGTCATGAAACACTGGAAAATAATTAAATACTCAAATCTTAAATAAAATTCTACAAGCATACTTTTTACACTTAACTGAAGCTTACTGCATTAAACATTAAAATATGCTAAAGGGCTAAGTAGGTCAATACTAGTTGATTTCTCCTAGTACATGTGATCCTGACAAGTGTGCATATCTGAACTGTAGGTAGTGGCTACAAGGTGTCGGAGCTGGCCTCGCTTTCTGAGGGAGAGACTCTCACGATTGGTGGGAAAGAGGTGGAGGTGATGGGAGTCATTTCTGCTGAGGACTTTGCCAAGGGGCGCTGTTTTCAGGAGGTCCAAACAGAGCGAGTGGAGTTAAACACAAAGTCTGCTCCACCACCCTCCTGCCGCTTGGCATTCAAACCTTTTTGCCCTCCAACAATGGTGGGCGGAGCGGGCCACAGAGAAACAAAACCAGAGGAGGAACAAACCCGCAGACCTCGCCATGACCCCCTCGCTCCAGGTGTGTGGATAAAGTTGGAGTTTGATGATGCATTAATTTATTACCTACATAAATTGGCAAAAAATATATTTATATTGTATTTTAATAATATTATTTCATATCGTTTTAGGTGCACTGGTGATGCCTCGCCCTTCCGCCAACCACCAGTGGTTAAATAACAAGTCAGGGCTTCCTATGGTCGATGTTGTGCTTGACCCACACCTAACCACACACCTGCGACCGCACCAGAGGGATGGCCTGCTCTTCCTTTACGAGTGTGTCATGGGCATGAGGTGACAGTGCTGTTTGGCTATCATGAAATGCTGTGCAAAAAACCTCTTAATCAATCTGTTGTAGCCCCACACAAAAAACGAAACAAAACGGAGCCACTGGTTTGATGTTGTGCTTATGTGTCTGTGGTTCAGAGCTGCAGGTTGCTACGGTGCGATCCTGGCCGACGAAATGGGTCTGGGAAAGACTCTCCAGAGTGTGGCGCTGTCTTGGACGTTGCTGAAGCAGGGACCTTATGGTGGGAGGCCAGTTGCTAAGCGTGTGCTTGTGGTTACACCTGGCAGCCTGGTACAGAACTGGGCCGCAGAATTCAACAAGTGGCTGGGCCGTGAGAGGATCAGCGTTTTCACTGTGGATCAGGTTATTTTGTTTTATAATTACAAGTTCTTGGTTCAGTTAATCATGAAACAACATGATTTTATTTGGAAAGAGAATGTGAACTCACTGCTTTAGTGCATATGTATATGTCCTGTTATCCATTCTGTATTAAAGTGCATACTGCAACAAGTCACACTGCTTAAAACGCAGAAGGAACCCACATGCTCTTAGGTACATGTCTGTGGTTTAACAAAAATCCATCCATTTTATTATAAGCTTTCTATTTTATTCTATTGCAATAATTCTTCTCTCTTATTCGATGACTTAATTATGCTACTCCGTTTTTATTGCCGGCTTTTCTTGATTTAATATCTTTTTTGTAAATAATTAAAATGAGAACAAGTATCTGAATGAATCATCTACTTTAATCTGGAGTTTATTAAGTAATTCCATTTTTTTCTTCATTGAAATGTATTTAGGACCACAGGATAGAGCAATTCGTTTTGTCCCCACTGCACACCGTTCTTGTGATAAGCTACGAAATGCTGCTGCGCTGCCTGGAGCAGGTATGTTCTCCCGATGTCTCATAGCGTGCTTTTTCCAAAGAAGCTGTTTGATCTTTGTACTCTTATCTTGTAATTTCCTTCTGTTTTCAGGTCCAGAAAGTTGATTTTGGTCTTATAATCTGTGATGAGGGTCACAGATTAAAGAATAGCAACATCAAAACATCATCAGCCCTCAGCAGCCTCGAGTGTAATCGCAGAGTCATACTTACAGGTGAAAGCAATAAGGGAGTTTCTGAAGGGAGTTTCTGAATGGCAGCTACAACTGCTTGCAGATGTTTTATAACAGACTGTTTTTTGTGCTTTTGAAGGCACTCCAGTTCAAAACGACCTGCAGGAGTTCTACGCCATCATTGAGTTTGTGAACCCTGGGATTCTGGGCTCATCGACTGCTTATAGAAAAGTATACGAGGAACCAATCCTGCGCTCCAGACAGCCCTCATGCACAGAGGTAATCCTATCTCCTTTCTCTTTCCTGTGCAGTTGTTATAAAAATGTTATCTGGTGTTAAACCCGATCTTACATCTTCCACTGCCAACAGGAGGAGAGAGTTTTGGGAGAGGAGCGAGCGGCCGAGCTCTCTCGTCTGACTGGCATGTTCATCTTGAGGCGGACGCAGGAAATCATCAACCGCTACCTGCCTCCTCGCCTCGACTGGACGTTGTTTTGCGAGCCGTCCCCTCTGCAACGAGAGCTGTACAAGCACCTCCTCTGCCACAGAGTCTTCAGGGCCTGCCTTCAGGGCTCCACTCAAACCCACACACATCTGGCTTGCATCACCGCACTGAAAAAGCTCTGTAATCACCCCGGACTGCTCCACGTCACTGTTAAGGTAAATTTTTTTTATGAGCTGGCTGGGGGGGACAGAAACCTGTGATCATAGTGGAAACTGTAAATATATAATCGTGAATCCCAGTCCTAACCATGAACATGGGTTGTTCTGTTGGTAGGAGAGGACAGATGCTGGCTCTGTGGAGAGTTCATTATATGAGGGGCTGGCAGATCTCTTCCCAGAATCCTATTCTTCAGGAGGATTCACCATGGCTGACTCTGGAAAACTGCTGGTTCTTACAGACCTGCTTGCCGCCATTAGACAGCTGAGCTCTTCAGACAGGTGTGTTTTTGTGTGACGCTAAGACGATATTGGTTGTTTGGATCATCTGGATTCTTTTTTTACTTTATTTATCAAGCGTCACATTTGATAGTAGGTGTGCTCCTGCAGGGTGGTCGTAGTGTCAAACTACACTCAGACGCTAGACTTGCTCCAGGACCTGTGTGTACACATGGGCTACACCTTCTGTCGGCTGGACGGACATACCCCCACAAACCAGAGGCAGCGACTGGTCGACAGTTTCAACAGTCCCTATTCTCAGAACTTCCTGTTTCTGCTGAGCTCTAAAGCAGGTGGGGTTGGGCTTAATCTCATTGGCGCTTCCCACCTGGTGCTATATGACATCGACTGGAACCCTGCCAATGACATTCAGGTAAAATACAAACAGTAAGTCTGAAAAGGTAGAAAAACTCAAAAGTTGGGGTTGTATGAAGTCTAAAAGTGCCTTTGGTTTTATTGTTATCCATTGTGAGCTGTATGTAAAAGATGGACATGGTAACCATGACACGGAAATATTAAAAAAACCCACGATGAAAATGACAGGAACCAAAACATGTGAAGGATTTCACTAAGACACACTTAAAAGAAACTGAAAATTATCAGTGTTGTTATCAGGGAGAAAAAGATCAAATAGGTATTAAAAAAATTAGGCATTTCTAATATGGAAATCTGTGAGAACTGATTTCCTTTGACACACTTTGGCCCAATATTTATGGCCCGGAGGTCGTTGCTTAGGGCAGATGAAATGAATCGAATAAGTGTGAAGCTGCCCTTGTGTACGAGTACATGCAAATCCAGCAGAGGGCACTGAATACGTGTGTGTTATCCTCCCCCCTCTTCTCTGTCCAGGCCATGGCTCGGGTGTGGAGAGATGGACAGAAGAAGACTGTGCACATCTACCGTCTTCTCACTGCAGGCAAGGACGCGTAAATACAAATTCCGAACAAAAAAAAAAGTGCACCATATCAACAGTGTTTTAAAGTTTTGTTTATTTCTCTCAGGCACCATTGAGGAGCGTATATTTCAGCGACAGGTGTCCAAACAGGGACTCTCTGGAACCGTGGTTGACATGGGGAAAGGGGCAGAGCACACGAGTTTCTCCACCAGTGACCTGCGAGATCTTTTCAGCCTGACGGAGACGCCCTGCCTGACTCATGACCTGCTGAACTGTGGCTGCGGCATGGATGGCACACTCAGCGGTAGGCTCACATACACGCCACACACGCTGACACCAGAGCACGAAAAGACTGAAAATCATGCCTCCTCACATCTTTGCGGTCTTCATTTTCAGCTATCACAGATGAGGAGGAGCTGGTTTCCGAACGGCCCTGCCAGCTCGGTCGCCAAGGTGACCGTAAGGGGGCGACACAGAAGCATCTCAGCATGTCCGAACTCATGCAGTGGAGACATTTCTCCGGTGACACACACTCCTTCTCCGACCCCTACCTCGATCACGCGCGAAACAACATCACTTTCGCCTTCCAGACCACCATCTCTCACGCAACCCAGTAAACAACCAACTCGCGTGACGCACACTCGCATAGCTTTCTGCACAAACCTCTTCAGGTCCTCTGGACTTTGTCAGCCTCGATTTGACGTATGAATAACGCTCCACCACTGCTGCACGTTACGCTATTTCCAGTAGTTTTAAAACCGCTTTGCTCCTGCGATTCTGTATTGCCCTAAAATTTTCACCTTTTGTTTATTTATGCAAAATAACTCACTGTAAAATTCTATAAAATAAGCATAAATGATTAAGAAATGTTTAACATTTGTCAGTGTTTGAAAAGTTCTTGCTGGTGAAAGAGGCGCATATAAAATACAGATTTATATCATGGGTACAGCCATTCAACAGACATTTCTATCCAAAGGAATATTTATTATTGGTAGGATTTATGTTTCTGTGGCGTGCCCAGTGAATGGAGAGAATGTGTTTACATTCAAAAGAATTTGTTTACAGCAGTTTGCTTAGTGAGAATGAGCCCCACCCCCCACCACCCCCCACCCATCCCAATGGGATGGGTGGGGGGTGGGGGTCTCTGGCCTCCACTGTCGTTGCATCCACCTTCGTGCTTTAATGTCAGAATTTGTTATGCAATGACCACACACGTTACTGTGGAGCGAGCAAATCTGCTGGGCTGTCGATGTGGGCCATACTGCAGTCTGTTCAGTCTATTATTTTGGATGACACTGGTCTGTTCATGCTCTTCAACACAAAGCTGCCGCGTGGGAGTTACAGCATGTAGTGTCTGCATGTGTGTGTGTGCGTGTGCATGTGCATGTGAGTGTGCACACCCAGAATTCACATATGATTTGAGTCTCGGTCTGTCAGATTGACTGTGCTCCAGTATACAATGCATTTCCATGCAGTGCAATTATCATTTATTCGAGGATCACCACTGTGTGTGATTGTTAAGCAACTTCGTTGTATAATAAATGGGTCTCTGGGATGATAACTTTTTTGTATGCATATGACAGTTGGACGATTACGCACACACCTGCTGTTATTCTGTGGACACAATGGGAATTGAAACACAACACTTCCTGTGCCAGGATTCGGCCTCATATGAACATTGCATGTTGTGCAATATATTAAATATGTCATTTTGCTATCAAATGTAGGCCCTCTGGAAGCTCATCAGTTTAGGATGTAGAAATCACAAAGAGAAGTGCAAGTATATGAAAGAAAACAGCAAAATGAACCTGCCTGCCTAAGTAAATGTGTGGATGCTAATTGAGATGTGCAGGTACTTGATAACTGACTAGTGTTGGGAATACAATTTATAGATAATTGGCTTCTACATACAGAGCCAAGATGTACACAGATATGTGGTATTATACATTATTGTTTTAGTATACTAGTGCTCCTCAGAAACTTCCATATATTTTATTTTCAATAAACGTGAGCTGAAATATTTCCATGTTAATATAGCCAGTTTTGAACGCCAGGGATCGGAGCGCCAGGACTTTCACCTGTGACCGCCATCTGATCTACTAAGCACTGAACCCACATCACTTTTTTGGGCTAAGGCCTAGCCACCAGGCCCTCGCGACACGGGGCAGTCGCTGGAGAGATTATCTCATCTGGCTGGCTTGGAAACATCTTGTTGTCCTCCTGGAGGAGGTGGCATATTGGATGTTGTCAGAACCTTGAGGCGACTGTTTTGATTTGGGGCTAAATAAATAAAATTGAATCAGCCATTAAAAAAGATTCATTTATTTTTATTGTTAGTGCTCTATATTTACAGGAAATACCGGAGAACTGAATAATTCCTGAGACCAATTTTATTTTAAAAAGGAGATTAACAGGTATTAACAGCTTCTGAAAGGTATAATTATTTATAAGCTTACTTCTTGGTTGGAGCTCCTTTACCACAAATTACTGTGTCAGTGTGTTGTAACATGGAGGTGATCAGCTTGTTGGACTGCTGAGGCATCACTGAAACCCAGGCTGCTTTTACAGCAGTCTACAGATCATCTGTATTTCTGAGTCGGATATTTTTCATCATAGATCAGCAGATGGAAGCATTAATTCTCTGAATCTAAAGTTTCCTTGTTAAATGCTTCACTGACTTTGGATTTGGTAAAACACAGAGGAGCAACCACTGCAAACATCAGCAGATGACCCACCGAGTCACCAAACTGTACTGGATTGTGCCCCTCTCCACAGTTCTTCCAGACCTTTCAAAATGAAATGCAAAGTTTACTTACCTTGGATCATTGAGCAACAGTGACGTAAAACTGTGTCTGGTTCAGAAGTGGTTGGATATTAGGAATATGACAGCCACAGCTCCTTTCCTGAAGACATCTGTGCTGATGGTGCTCCAGCACAAGCCTCAGTCAGTCTTAGTGAGCCTCTCCCAAGTTCTTGAATTAACCTTTCTTAACAATCCTCTCAAGGTCACCATCACCCAGGTTGCTTTTTGCACTTTTTCCCTTCCAGTGAACTTTCCAACAACAGGCTTCGCTGCAGCATCCTGAACAGTGACTTTGTGCGACTTACCCTCTGGGTGGAGAACTGTCCAGATCTTAATCTGCAGTTTTCCCACATGATTGTAGCTGCGTGTACTGAATTAGGCTGAAGGATACCTACATACAGTATTTATACTGTTTAAATAGTAATTTATAATAAAATATGAAATGCAACACTCTTGACTCACAATACTGGATTTCTGATTTCTGTGAGCTATCTGATTGTTTTCTGCTTCCTCTGTATTATTGTAAGGTCTTTACCTTACAACATAAAGCACCTTGAGGCTGATTACTCCTGCTCTTCTGATTAGTTTTAGTCCTTTTAGTGGGTGAATAATAGAACCAAGTTAAAAAAGAATTCTACTGATGTGTGTAATATTCCCCAACTTAGTTCAGGCCCCATTAAACAAAATTTCAGGGTAATCTGCCTGAATACTTGGTAATCTCGTAAAGTAAGGACAGCATCTTCACCACAATTGAAAGTCCCTGAGTTCAGATATTTAAAAAAAAAAAGAGAGAGAGAGAGACCTTAGACAGAAACCAGTGGTGGCTTAGCAACTGTCACCAAGCAACTTACTACGGATCCTGCTGCAGCTTGGCTTTGCTGATGTAAGATGCTGTTTGTTGTTTCAGAGTAATTGTATTTTGCGTCGCATCTCCTCGCTATTGTTATCGGACACGTGCCGGACTGACGAGTGTCACTCTTCCAAACAGGATATTGATCCTAATCAGGTCTTTGAGGCCATGTGCTGGTGGGTTCGTGAGGTGGAATTTGTCTGTCTCTCTCTTCCTCTCTCTCTCTGTAAAGCTCTTACTGGCTGCCGCTGGCTGAACCTCCAATCCCCCTTTTAAGCCGAGTTCCAGCTCGACGATTTAAAGGGTGAATGACTTTCCGCCGCTGGAGGGGGAGAAAGGGACACGGTGGTTTTGATGAAGACAGATTGGACACTTAGTCCTTGTGATCCCAGGACCTGAGTGGAAGATCTAACTACACTGTCACAGCTGGATAGCCAAACTTCTGATGTAACCCCCACTGAGGTTGCATTTCCCATATTTCATTCATTAATAGTCAAGGTGTCTCTGACGTCAAAGCTGGATAAATGTTTCAGAAATATTCAGATGCTTGTGCATCAGCATGGACACTAGATGCCATCTGTGCTTCTTATTTAGGATTCAGGATGTGAACTCAATGCTTGGTGGCTCCTCTGTGGACGCACTTGAGCTTTAGCAGATTTATGTAGTTGCTACCTAGCAAAGAATTAACAGCTTACATTGTTGAAAAGCAGACTGCCCTTCTGAAACAAATGTTCACCATCAGTTAGCTGGAATCCAATCCAATGGACAATATTGATCAACCTACTTATTCTCTGATTTTCTGTGGTGCTTCTTTTGTTATTGTTCCTCTACTGTTCTCTGGATAACTTTACAGGATTAGAAATAAAGGGCATAAAATATAGAAAATATTAGTTTAACATCTTTAAATTTAAATCTTTAAATCACAGACACATTTTTTTTCTCTGTGTTTATGTGTTAGTCCTCCTTTTAAAATTTAAATATGTATTCCTGCAGCAACTGCATAGGCAGAAAAGCCAGTTAATGTTAAATTGGTTTATAAAATGCATAAAGCTTGAGATCCACATATTTAAGATTGTGCGCCTCCATCTGGTTTCGCTTTATCTCGCTACTTAACAGCTTACACACAGATGTGATTATCCCTCAAACCTGAAGATAATATTCTTTGTCTACATCACAACACTTTTGTGGGTAGCATGAGGTTTGGGAGACGTTACTCCAGGAAGGAGTTGGGTTCGAATCCAAGGCGGGTCTTTTGTGTGTAGAGTTTGCATGTTCTCCCCAGGCCTGTGTGGGTTTTCTCCAGGTACTCTGTCTTCCCCTCACAGTACAAAGACATAAATCAGATAAGCTTAATTAATTGGTGATTCAACTGCAGGTGTAAATGTGAGCGTGAATTGTTGTCTGTGTTTATGTGTATTAGTCCTCCAACTGAACGTCGACCTGTCCCAGAGTCTTCCCCGCTTCTCGCCCTGTTACAGCCAGGATGGACTCCATCCTCCCCTTGAGCCTGAAGTGGAGAAGCAGAAGAAACAGATATTTTGGCACATTTATGCATCCCTTCTATCTCCTGTTCCCCAGGTGCCCCAAGCTGCTTTTGAGTCACGGTATTAAGCTTTTATTTTTTCTTCCTAATTCAGACCTCATAATTGCATCAATTATAGAACAATATATAATAAAAGTTGTCACTGTAATCATTTGGAAGTCAGTACAAATGAGATGGTGTAGGTGTTTTGATGACAATTATTGTGCCGAGGAACGATTTCACACACATAACATCACAGATTGACGATCAGTAAATGCAGTACATGCTGCCTGACTTGTACAGGTTAATAATATTGTCAGATTAAAACCAGTTAACACATCTAGACAACAACAAAAACTCAATTCAACTTCAGTGTAAATTCCCAAAAGCAAATATTAAAGCTAAAACTGTTTCCTGGTCTTTTATGCGCAGCTGTTTTCTCCTTAGCCTCCACCAGCATTTACATTTCATTTCAACTTTGACTGAATCTCCCAGTTTTCCAGGCTGCTCCTTATTTTAAGGTGCACGTCCATCTTCTAATTTCAGGTACATGACCAACTGTCATTACTATACTTCCTCCAAGAGACATTCTCCCCAAGTGTAGCATTTGTCTTTAAATTGTCTGCTGCGTCATGTTTTACACCAAAATGAACCATCAGATCAGACTGGGATTAAGCCGGGGTTGAACTGGGCAGCTTCCATGTATGAGCAGCACCTTCATCAAAATCTGTTTTGTATTAGGCGATAGGAAAAAAAAAATAGGTCACTTCTCACTCTCTCGCCATCAACATCACCCTGCCAATCTGCAGCCAGCCAAAGTGTAACCCTTCCCTCAATCCCCTCCTCCTGACCCTGGGCCTGCTCCAGCACTTAACAAGGATTTAATGTTTCCCAGTCATCTGTCAAGCAGATCAGAGCTATAATGCAGAGCAGCAGGTCCCGCAGATCAGAGCGCAGCCCGTCAGTCCCGAAAGTCTGGAAAAACAACAGTCGGGGGTGGGCTGCATAATCCGACAATTACTGTAATAACCCTCAGTCGCTCAATCCCTCACTCAAAAAGTGCTTTTCCTAATGAGAATCTCATGTTTGCGAGTTGAATGCAGTTTACAAGTTGAATGCAGTCTCTCTGGACATTTGCATATGTTGTTAGAGAGGTCATTCATAAAATACTGCTTTTTACAATCCGTTGGCAGTATGCTGCTGCCAGCCGATCTCAGGGCAGCTTTTATTTAGACATTTCTGGCAGAAAGAGGATTCTCTGACAGAAAACAGAAAATATCACCGTACGATGATAATGAGGGTGTTTGACATGATAGTTATCAGTTTCTTAACCCAGCGACTGCTGAATTGCAGCTAATAAATCTATGTAGCCAGGGTGTGTTGATTCTGTGATATAAAACTCTGTTATCAGGTGCAGCCACTCCTTTTCCTTCAAAGCTTGTTCAGCGTCTGGTGCAGCCTCATTCACTGTAGTATTAGTGCTAATTAGATGGAACAAATCTCTGTTTTTGTTTTGCATGTGCTGATAAAACGTAGTGAATTTAAAATTAGTTAAATATTTTTTGAAATATTGCACAGCTTTTGATATGTGATTAACCTAACCAGGAAGTTTAGTAAATTAAAATAAACCCATTAAATGCTACTTCTTAATGTTTGATATTTGTTAGCTGCTTTATGCCATGTTAAAGGTCTGTATTGGGGAAAAACTAGGATTTGGGAATAAATCGCGCTCCCTTTGTTCCATGATGATATGTCTGTTAATCATCTGCCAGGTTGGCCAGGCAGCAGCAGAGGTGTGGCTCATTTATGCTCAAAGAACTTTCTCAACGCTGATACATGAATAATGGTAATTACTGACTCCTCCATATAAAAAATAAGCCAGCATCTGTTATAGTTTAGAGCAGAGTTGAGCAGGCACAATGCAGATTCACCTTCATTTTGTACTCACAGTTAAAGACTGTTGTTTTTGTTATCAGTTAACCTGTTACTGTATTCTATAAAAGGGTATCTCTATTTACAGTCATGTTAGACAAAAGAAAGTGGCAAAAGTTAACACTAAAGATTTTTTTTTTTTATCATTATTTTACTTTTCATTCAATTAATTACTAATAGCTGCAGCTCTGGTTCAGTTTAATTCAGTTCAAGAAAATCCCACCTTTCAGAAGATCCCCTATGAGCAACAACTCGGCAACAGTGGAAAGGAAAAACTCCCTTTTAACAGGAAGAAACCTATAACTGAACCAGGCTCAGGGAGGGGCGGCCATGTGCCGCCACCGGTTGAGAGTGAGGGGAGGAGTACGGGACAAAGGCACACGGGAAAAAGCCAGAGATGAATAATAACATAATAATCATTATAAACACAGTGAGTGAAAAAAGGAAAGTGAAGAAGAAACAGCGCATCAAGGGAAGCCCCCAGCAGTCTAGGCATAACTAATGGAGGATTCAGGGTCACCTGATCCAGTCATAACTATATGCTTTATCAAAAGGGAATCTTAAAAGTAGAGAGGGTGTCTGTCTCCCAAATCCAAACTGGGCCCAAGCCTCTGCCTCCCATTCTACTTTTAAATACTAGGAACCACAAGTAAGCTCGCAGTCTGAGGGCGACGTGCTCTGTTAGCATAATAGTACCATAGTACTGAAGGCTTTTTGTGTTCTTGACACACGCCTGTTGCTTTCAGATGGTAAAAGTGTAGGTGGAAAGAACAATACTAGCGGTTGTTCCCACTTGCTTCTGAACATTGCGGCACAAATATTGTGTACAGAGTAAAACCTTTTATGTGAACCGGTTGCTGTTAACATGTCAGCTTTACAGTATGCCGTCTGCAGGGTAAGAAGAAAAACCAGAATGTCTGAACGAGTCGCACTGAACAGCATATTTACAGTATGAAGGACCGAGCTCTTCATCGCGCTGTCTCCCTCCATCTGTTATCCTCAAGGACATTCAATCAGACCAAAGCAGTTTGAATACGCTCTATGAGAGTTTTTATTATGCTTACAACCGTGACCTGTTTGCATGGGCTTACACAGTGCTCCCATATTTATATAACTACACCTGAATGCACTGCATGCATTTATTTATTTATTTAGTTATTTGAACAGAAAAATTGGCAATATTCTGAAATGTATTGGTAAAAGCTTGTTTTCATCTGCAGCCCTTGACCAGTTTCTCTTGATGAAGTGCAGATAAATTTACATTGTTTAGATTCCAAACATTAAAGATCATAAAACCATTGATTAAAACTTATGTAATCTTTTTTTTTCTGACCTTCATCTCACAAATTACAGATTTCACAAAAAGAAAAAACTGGAGGTTCACAAGAGAGAATGATCACAAGTGATTTCCCCACCAGGCGTTTGTATAAAAGATGTTTTTCACAGCAAAAACTGTTTTTGGTCATATGATGGACACAACATTATAAAACTTGAGCATCCAAATAGTCATTTTGATTGTTTTATGTTTATGTTACCACTGAAGTCTAGATATTGTTGTTTTTATTGTAGCTGGTTTTAATTCTGCTTGTGGTGGTATTAAATTTCAAAGAAAAGGCATTTTAGTTGGGAACATACATACGTTACTGATTGTTTTACATTTTTCAATAATTCAATTACTGTATTGATCTAAACCTATGAATCCTTCAGAACTGAAGAAGCTTCTCAGATGAGGTGAAACGTCTTCAAGCAACTTAAAGAAGTCCAGACGCTTTTCATTCCAAGCTCCTTACACTATGATGACCTGGATGACTGAGAACCTTGGATCCTAATATACTAACAAGTTTATTCAGAAACTCTAGGAACAAAAGGTTTTATTTTTTTATAAACTCTGAATTTCCACATTTTCAAAGAAATGGTGCAAAGTGAAAGCGGTTGTTCTTTTCCTCTCTTTGTTACGAGGCTCGATGGATCCATGCTTTCATGACATATACCGAGTTCTAACTCTACCTTCTGAATGTTGCTGAAGAAATTGAAACTCATCAGACCAGCCAAAGTTTTTCTAATCTTCTCTTGTCCAGTTTTGGCAATCCCAAGCCTTAGTTTCTTACTGTTAGCTCAGCGTAGTGAAACCCAGAGTGGTCTTCTGCTCCCGTAGTCCATCTGCTTAAAGGTTTGATGTGTTCAGGGATGCTCTTCTGTATATCATGCCGTTAGCGAGGGGTTATTTGAGTTACCGTAGCTTTCCTATCAGCTCAAAGCAGCCTGGCCATTCTCCTCTAACATCAACAAGGCATTTTCCCCTGGAGAAGTGTGGCTCATTAGATATTTCCTCTTTTTCAGATCTTTCTCTGTAAACCTTAGAGATACCTTACAGATAGCAGATCAGCAGTTTCTGAGCCATGTGGCATGGCTGTTAGTGCCTGTGTGGTACTAACAGCCATGCCACATTTGAAGTCACTTAAACACCTTTCTTCCGCATTCTGATGCTCAGTATTGCGCTTAAATGTATTGAGTTTCTGTCATGTGACTGGCTGATATTTGCATTAAGTGCAGTTGAATAGGTGTCCCTAACAAAGTGGCCAGTGAGTGTAATTGTGACAGTAATCAGAAGCAGATTGATCCTGGATTTATAAACTTTCTAATACGAATTGGAAACGTGTCACAAACCTTTGGTTGAATCCTATAAAATAAATTTCAGCAGTGAGGCGTCTCTATAGGAGCATATCAGTGTTACAGGCTCTGCACACGTGTAATGCGGTGGTGCTGAACCGCATGTCACTGCCGCACAGTCATTTTAATATCATCTGAGCTGCCGCACACCCTGCGCATGAACCAAAACAGTGAGTACCCAGCACATCACGGCTTTGCATCCACTCTCCCATGCTCTACTTGTGTGACCTCCCCCCGCCCCCATCCGTCTATATAAACTGCAGGGAAACCCCATCAGGGCATTAAGAGACTTCACTCAGCTGGAGATTACCGAGGGATGAGGCTGCAGACACATCAAGAAGGCAGAAGCTGTGAATTTCGCTCCGGGATTTATCCAGAAAGTGTGTTTTATTTGTATTTTTGGAAATGCACGAATTAAACTTTGAAATCGGTGTGCCGCAGAAACAGGTTTAAGCAGCATATTGAGGTCGTGGGCGCTGAGTTAATGCAGTAGACACCAACAGGGGGGAACTTCTGATTATCTGAGACTAAGTTTAGTCACCTTTAATCTCAGAGAAACGAGACGCTTCTGGTTCACCTGAGAAGGATAAAAAGCTTCTGAAGTGTCTTTTAAGAAGTAAGAAGGCTCTTTGTTTCTGTGCTGGAAGAGGTTTAATCCCACCGCTGTGTATAATCCAGTCCATCCCGATTTTGCCGCCGGCACCATGCTGTCCAGTGTGCGCCGTCACAGCCTCCGCCTGCAGAATGAGCTCCACCGGTGGAGCATCTGCGACGCGGGCAGCCACCCGCTCTCGGACAGCCTCCTGGCGAGGGTCCCCGCCTGCATCTCTCGCTCCAAATCCTGCGCCAGCTCCGCCGGGGAGTCGGACGGGAGCAGAGGGAGCTGGTCCTCCTCGGACTCAGTCATCTCCACCGACTCCGCCGGGGAGCACTCCGCGGAGCCCGGGAGACCGTATCGGGTGGTGCTGCTGGGGGCCAGCGGGGTCGGTAAGACGGCTTTCGCCAGCATCTTCGCCGGTGCAGCGGACAGCATGGACAGCGACGACTGCGAGCTCTGTGGAGGTGAGAGAAAGACCTTATTAAAGTGCCCGAGAAAGTTACACTTCTATTCTTCCTGTAATGCTCGTGTATATATTGTTATATGAATATATATAAAATAACATAGTAGTAGAAATCATAAAGTATAAGAAATAAATTGTATTTATTCTACTTTGTATAGTGCATATTTGTCTTCTATTTTTGCATTGTAGGTTAGGTTAGCTGCCCTGCTATAACAATGTAAATTTGCAATAACAATGTAAATTTCCCTGCTATGGGATTAATAAATCTTATTCTATAATAAAACCGTAGCACTGTAGTTATTCTAATAATAATGCTGTTTGACGTTTTGCTGATTTCACTAAGATCTAAGTGTTTGATTCCTGTTTAAATTCAGATGAAGTGACTGAAAAGGAAATTGAAGTGGATGGAGAGCCTGCCTCTATAACTCTGATTGACACCTGGGATTCAGAGGTGAGTTTTTTTACAAAATGAATCAAAGAAGAGACTTCACCTGCCTGTGTGTGAGCATACTAAGCCCTGTGTGTGCTTTGCAGACTGACAGTGAATGTGTGTACGAGCAGTACATGCAGACTGGGGATGCCTACTTGTTGCTGTACTCTATAACTGACCGGGCCTCATACCTGAGAGCTTCTGAGCTCCGGATAACCCTGCGTCGCTTCCGCCCTGCCCAGAACACACCGATTATCCTTGTGGGGAACAAGTGTGACCTGGTGCGACGCAGAGAGGTGTCAGTGAGCGGTAAGGAGGCCTAATCTGAGTCTGTTTATGCTTCTCTTCTTTTGATAAGATGATCAAGTGCCTGAAACTGTCTCCTCCCTGTTTCAGAGGGTCGCGCTTGTGCCGCTGTGTTCGACTGCAAGTTCATCGAGACCTCGGCCGCCATGCAGCACAACGTCTGGGAGGCTTTCCACGGCATAGTGCGACAGCTACGTCTACGACGGGACTCCAAAGAAGCCAACAAACGCCGCAGGCATAGAAGCTGCACTACCCGCCGAGAGAGCATCCCTATGAAAGCCAAACGTTTCCTTGACAAAGTGGTGGCAAAGAACAACCCCAGCGTGGCGTTCTGGCTGAAATCCAAGTCCTGCCATGATCTCTCTGTGCTGTAGGAGCCTGATGGATGAAGCCAGATCTACATCACACCTTTGAGCAGGAGAACAAGTTAGTAGGTGGAGGATAAGCCTACATCTGAGGTGGCTACAAAGTTGGATGGTTCACACGCAGCCTTCACGGTGTTCACATCCACCCTCCAAACAGCCGGGACGGTGTTAGGAACGCATTGCAATCCAGCACAGACTGAGAGGACTCGGCTTAGATTGTCTGCCTTTGAAATGAACTTTGTTAGAGGCCTCGTGTCTGTGTGACAGAAATGTCTAAGATTAGAAACCAGCTGATGGAAACTGAGAAAAGGAAGTTATTTATTTATTTATTTATTTTGTTGTTTGTGTTTCGAACAAACTCATTTTAACAGCCTTTTCTCTCCTTTCTTCTCTTTTTTCCTGATCAGTTTGCTCCGATTCTTGCCAAATTTTGACTGTTGATCCCAAAGTGCTATGATTTGTAAGCTACTTTGTGCAGTTAATGTCTTTGATTATGTGTACGATGATCTTTTGACAGTTACTTTATTTATACGTGTCGTATTTTGCACTTGTTGTACACAAAAACCACATTGATAATGTATCTTTTTTTTGTTTTAAGTGTTGCTTGATGAAATAAAGTGACATGACAGCATTTGAAAGGGAAAAAAAATAACACTCTTTTGTCTGCCATCTCCACATCACTGATGAGAAATGATAATGGGTGACTCAGCTTTGACACAAAGGAGACACACTAGCACAAATAGGGTCTCGCAGCAACGCTGTGCTGATGCAGGATGAGTCAGGTGGTGACATTAAACCTGAACTTACTTCAGCACATTAGTCCCCTGCGCCTCTGATTGGGTACGGTGATTTGGCTCCCAGTGTGGCACCTGACAAGCTTTCCACCTCGGTTTTGTTGGGAAAACAGTCAAAAGCAGAAAAATGTGTTGCCAAGGTAACATTCAGAGGAAGTGTGTGTGTTTGGTTCAGAGAGCGTCGGGCAGATGGTGTTGGCCGCAATACCGGGCTGTGTGCACATACAGAGCCACGCTTTACATAACAGAGTCACTTCCAGCTTCATGCGCTGAACCATCGACTCTCCAGTCATAGGTTCTGGTTAAATAGCGAGGCCTGTGAAACAGTGACTCACTCGCAGCCTGTTTTCCTACGGAGTCGCACAGTTTTATGGTTTGTGTGTCCAAGCAGCTCTCCACAGCTTGTAAACCTCTCAGCTCAGGATGACTTTATGCATCAGGTCATATAACAGATAATTCCAACTGATACGTGTGAGGTTGGGTCATAAAGATGAAGTCTTTAAGACACACCTTCTTTTTCCTGTTTTTACAGTTTCATGTGCGTCTTGACCTCCTGAATTGACCTCAAAGCTTTGCATTCCCATGAGGCAGTGGATTGTCAGTGCAATCAGCGAGTCGGTCCTATTGTCTACGCATAGCTCCTTATCAGGCACTGCTGCTGATGGAAGATCTGCCAGGAAGCACAGCAATGGTGCATAGGTCAAAGTCTAAGAGGTAATCAGAAACTTAAACAATGAGCAGCGAAGAAATGAGAACGATTTCACAAATTTACCCCCCTCGTTGTCCCCGCTTCTTGTTCTATTTTTGTCCAGAATTCACGCACATGCCGGCTAAAATTCAGAAATGCTTTGCTGAGACGTTCCCTTTAAAGAGTTTGTTGTTTTACAAACACTAATCAGTACTCTATAAATCCACAAGCAGTTGAGTGTTTCAATAAAATCCCCATCTTACTTTAATAGACAGGTGTTTTATTGAATTCTTTATTTATAATTGTTCTTTTCTTCCTGTCTTTGTTGCTTTTGTCTGCTTCTTTCCCATTGGCCAGCTTGGCAGAAGGGCAGGGTGATTAGACAATCATTAGATCCAATAAAACATTGCTGGTTAGTGGCTGGTTAACGTTTGACCAGGACAGGATGGAGCTGCTCAGATCAGTCTGACGAGTGTCTCAGTTGCTCTCTCCTCTAAGGTAAGCCACCTCGCTCTCTTGTCTCCCAAGTTTCAGGTTTGTTTCAGGAGAATTGGGAGAATTATTTTTCGGGTGTGTCGCCAGAAACCAACAGGACTGCTTGTGTTGGTTTTTATAGATTGTGCGATGACGGGTTTAAAATGTTCTCAGATTATTGCTGAAGTGCCATGATCTTGACTTGACTTTGGCAGGGCCTTAGATAAGGTGTTGGCATATTTTACTGCCTTACTGCTCTCCTTCTTCCTGGGTTGTTCTCAGCATTTTAGAATAGGAGGAAGGTAAGTGAACGGGACTTTAAATTTGGTATTATAGCAGCTGAATATAGCCAGACAAAGGTCATCCAGTCATTGATCTAAGAGGATAAAGCGAGAGGGGCCTGTAGCTTTGGATCCATGTTTGTGTATTTCTCCCAGCTTCAATTTAATCAAGTGTCAAACGTCTGTTAGTTTCTCCTCTGGATACCAGCTAAGTCGCTGTAGGTGGACGTTTAGAAACTAGTGACACTGCTGAGGGACTTGCCAGTTAAAGGTCTGCTTCGCAGCAGATGTTAGTTAACAACATGGAGACAGATATTCTTATAAAATGCAGAAAACCTGCAGATAAATAAGGTATTCAGACAATGGGGTGACTTTAAAAGTGTCCTTTGGCACAAAAAGGTCATTTGGCTCGACTCAATGTCACCTTCACTCAACCCTTTGACTTTACCCTTCTGTTTCGCTTGCACTTTACAGCTCCAGAATCTCTACATATCTTATTTACCAACTTATTCCTGATGTATGGGTTAAGCACAGACCTAAAAGAATTAAAAGTGTGAGTTTTCTTTAATTGTCAGTAGCGACTGTCACATTATTTCTTTAGTAAACAAGCATTACTCTGGCCTTATAACTTGGATGCTTCTGCATTCAGTGCATTCAGTGTAGTACATTTTTTTCGGGGGAAACGGTTGCTTTAAATGCAAAATGCAGGAAAATCTACAGATTCATTGAAGTTATGTTTATTCAAGCGTCTGAGGAGACAGCCCTAAAGTCATTGCACTGGTTTGGTGTCATATACATATATACATATGTGTACACCCACTTTACAGAAAGAGAAAGACTCGGACATGAACACCTGACGCTGCTTTAAAAGGCATCGACTTTCATTTTCTTCTGTGCACTCGGGTGGGTGGTTCACCTGGAAGGTCTAGGTGGAGTCCCATGTGTAAGCACTTCAGCACAAAGTATGCACAAAGAGAGATACAGTGCACATATGCAGATTCAAGGACAGAGGACACGCTTTCTTTGTGACACTGTCGACATTGCACATCAATGACACACTGCACTGAACGGAGAAAAGGGTTGAGAGGGTTTAAAGATTCCTCTGTGGAATTGGTAATAATCCACTACATGGGTTTTTTAGTGTTTACACAACAGCAGAGCACAGTGAATATTTTCCACAAAAATGACATAACCTCTGAAACCTCCTTAAACATTTTTTTCTAACCCTCCTCCTCGTCTTCCTCTTCCTTCTCAGGCTGTGATAATGACACCCATGGTGCATCTGTTGTTGCTCCCGCTGCTGTTCAGCATTGTGAGTACACGAGCGCCAGCCAACTGCTGCTGCTGTTCTTCAATACATATTCAAATGCATGAACCTGTTAAAAGATCTGTGAAATAGTCAGCGTTGATTAATGCTACACAGGGAGCGCATGAAAGAAAACACTTACAACTATCAGTAAGGTTAACAAAGAGTCTGTGAAACAGCCCTCAGTGACTCGTTTTAAAACACTCACAGAAAGGGTTGCTAAACGGAGCGTGGGCCCTTTGTCTGTAGACTTTGCTCTCCCATCATGTACTCGAATATAAAAGTTCCTCCACTGTTAAGTCATTTTGGTTCAATAAATAACTGGGCCGTAAATACTGCCCTCAATGCTTGACTGATTTCACCGGAGCTAAAGCTAAAATGGCAAATTTAGGTATGAGTGTGAGAGGTTTTCATTTTTTCTTGCCTTTTTCTGTACTCGATGACCTTTAACCTTTATTTCTGCGCTGTAATAGGCTGGTGGGAAGGATCTGGAGGAGAAGAAGGGCCCCTTTGAGAACACAGTGCTGGATGTGCCAGAGGCGACCCTAGTGCCCTATCCTTTGTTTCAGGTAATATAAGCATGGCAGCAGCGCTGCGCTCTGCTGGTGTAATATTGTCCATTTTTGAGGTGGATGAGCTGCACATGTGCCATGCGCTCCATTTATCAAACACCTCAGTCAGATAAGTGTCACTAAACCAGAACCTGCACCTGAGAAGTTAGCTTATCTTAATCAAGATAGGAAAATAATAAATAGTAAAAAAAAAACAAAAAACCTCTGAATATAAAGTATTGTTGCAGATCTTTGTTGTTTTGTTATTGCTCCTCTGTCGGCCATCTCACAAGCCTTCACGTTTACTGTAAAAGTTTGGTAACATCATCATCATATTGTTATTTCACTAGCTGGGAGCGTGTTCTCATTTTAGGTTTGACAGTGTTTTAGTAGATAAAGGTGAATGGCTTGGATGTGAATTGAGCTGCGGTTTGGAGAAGGCCTCGAAGGGGACTTGTGGCAGCTCCTAGGCCTAGCAGATCCCAGTGTACTAAATACAAGTGAAGAAATTAAAGACTTAAAAAGGGGAGGGAGGGGCACGTAAATGAGAATGAACAGCTTCTAGAACTGGGGGGAACATATATAGATAAGAACCAGAAGGAGCGTGTTTGGAGGCGTGGTCCCGCTCCTGAAATTTTGATACTTTATCTCCCATAAATTCTCGCTCGCCATCAAACTTCCCTTTTAATCAATCAGTCGTCTATTTGCAGCAGCTGTAGCTTTGCAGATATTTGTTTCATTGCCATTTCTTGCACACCGTGCAGTCAAACTATTCCCACAACAGCTTAATAGGTTTGAAGTCCGGTGACCACGCTGGGCACTTCATAATGAGCTGACTGCTTCCTCTTGAATTGTCGTCACACAGTTTGGAGCTGTATTTGGGGCCATTGTCCGGTTGTTGAAGATAACTGGCTCCACCGGGTAGCCAGTTTCAGACGTAACTCTTTATTTTTAGCTGGCCCTAAAAGATCAGCATCCTGGCATCACCTTTTTCCTTTCTGTTGACTCTGTGGGTTTTGTAGGTACCATTTTAGTCTCTAGAGAGTCCGAACCAGTTTGACCTGTTCTGTGAAAATAGGTGCTACATCCATCTTCTTTTTTTTAATGTCCACATGGAATACATTTTTACTTCCTAGAACAAGAATACTCTGACTGGCTCCAGGGGGAAGTTTTTTCTTTAACCGCTCTGAGTGCATAATCACACCCACAAAGCCTGCAGTTCGAGACACTCAGCACTCAATCAAATTTATTAATAAAACAAGAAGCAGCAGAAAGCGCAATCCTCCACCAAGGCAGCTCACTCTCTGGACAGTGTTTACTTTTAAGGGAACTTAATTGGATTTTGGAAATATTCATTATGTTTTCTCTTCTTCTTTTTAAAGTACTTTAAGAAATTTATAGTGCAGTATAAATCAGAGAAAAGTGGTATCACAGATGCTTACTTTGAATACACAAACATTATGTAGCAGTAGGTTATGGATAATAGGTATTGATTTAAATAACTAGACATGAATAACCTGAGCTTGTTATACAATATTACACTACAATTTATTTC